AAGATAGATAAAGGAAATGATTGTTAAGGTGATGGTTTGAAAGTGTAAGCTGAGTTATGAAAAATCTTACCAATTCTCTTATCCCCTTTTAACTTTGCTAGGGCAATAAAGAGATATATTCTGTAAGATAAGAAGTAGTATCAGAAAAAAGCTTCAATGATTTGGCTAATTTTCTGTACTTATGGTGCTGCAGTTTGACATATCCCTGTTTTCAAATTGTGGATACATTGACATCCTTTTTTTAAAATAGTGCCTAGTGGCAACAATTTTCTTTTATTGTTCTGCATATGGATGGAATCTGAGCTCTAGAGGTAAAACTTGTATAATGTTAGAGGACATTCTCAAATATTTAGATTGGCTGTAAAATAATCCAGAAAATTTGATAGCCATGGTGCTTTGATTGTACCTAGTCAAAGCATTTTGTGCTGAAGGGTGGAATATTATATATGGAAAAAATGTTGTTAAATTAAGAAATGTCTTAGGTTATAGTTTCTAAATGTTTTATATGTGCAAGTTACTGTTTAACTTAACAATTAAAATGGTTATTTAAAGTTATCTAGAAACATGCTAAAGGTAATATTTGAAGTATTTGAAAATAAGAGTCTCATACAAGAATTAAAATAGTACATTGGCATTAACTGAAATTAATAATAGGTCATGAGTTCTTTAAATCTAGAATGACTTTAAAGACTGAATTGTGAAGTTGTAAAATAATGAGATTAGTTTTTACAAATCCTCATTTAGAAATCAGTGATTTGAACAAAAAATATCAGTCTGCTAGTTTTTTATCCACTGAAGAGTCTTGTTTACTTAATGTTACATGCCACAGGTTGTGGGTTCTGTTAAATATCTGCCAGTGCATAAGAAGTAGATTCTGTTTAGGATTAGATAATTTCTTCAGATTATTCCATACACAGTAATGTGGGTTACTGTGGGTATAAAAGTCTACCTTTGGATTTTATTGAAACATTAATGGTTTCTTTTGTGGGTTTTTTTTCTGAAAACTTACTGTGTATTTTATTCAAGTAGGTACTATAGTGCTCAAAAAGACAGGTCTCCTCAGATCTGCATCATATGAAATGTTATACTGCCTAACACTTCATATTTTACTTAGCATTTGCATAAATGTATACAGGGCATTTGGAAACACATGAAAGTCTAACGTTTAGTTTTAAGCTTACTGAAGTGCTATCAATCATTATGAGAAACCATATCTAGCTTTACACTTTCTGCTTTACTTCTGCTATGATTTTCTTAAACACATAAGTACTATGATTTTTTTCAAAGAGCCCAACAGCCCAGCTGATTAATTTTCCTCTAGAGCTAAGCAATTGATTCAGAGAAAACTCCAGGTAGACTGAAGTTTAAAACTGTATTTGGATTTTTTTTTTTTGCCCCACAAGGTGTTCTGTGCAACTATAATACAAAATTTGCCTGACATTCTCTGTGAGTGATGCTGTCCTGTCATATCTGAAACTCACTGAAGTCATAGCAAGAATCTTAACTGGCTGAAGTGCATAAGGAAATAAAGGAGTAACAGTGATGAGTATTTACCAATAACTACACAATGATTCTAAAAATGCTGGAATGAGTTTGTATGTTATAAATATGACCTATTGATGTTTACCCAGTCTAAGGAAGGACTCATAGCTTGTATTTAAAAAAAATAGCATGTGTGTCAAAAAGTGGGATATGTCTATTAGCTGCATTTCTGCAGTATGTCTATGAATCTATAATTAAACATCGTGATTTATACGTACATAGAGATATAGTGTAGATGTGCGTATTCAACAAAAGTGCTCATAAAAAATCTATTCAAGAGTTAGGTACACACTGCTTTTACAAACTGTAGGTCTGAGAACAAATGCTTATTATAGTAAATATAAACATTACAAAGTAATCTTAGAAATCCCATGGAGTTTCCCGTGTATGTTTGTACTGGAAGGTGAATTGTTTTATCAGAAAGAAGAAATACCCAATTGGAACTAAGTATAATTTTATATAGGACTTCTGTGAGTACATTTCTTCCTTTTGATTGACATTGAAAAAGAAAACATACACACACGCAAAAGTGCTCTTCAGTTGTAAACATTATATGAATTGGAAAAGCAAGAAGTATCTGTTGTATCAACTTGGCTGTTCCATAATATTTTTTCTAATAGGCCTAATGGTTTTTGGTAAAAATCGTTTCTTAACATTACACTTACTAGAAGTGGAAAATTGTTACAGTGATACCGTGGGTTAAAATAAGAGACCTGAAAAATATTTCATTTTAAGCTAAATTGCACATAGGTTAAATTTCTTGAGTAGCTACCAAAGAAATTGACAGCTACATCACTTTCATGTTGATGAATGGTACTCCTAATATGTTTTGAAAAGAACTGGGCCTATTAAGATAGGGACTTACAGATTTGCACTGGAATCAGGTTCTCTAGGACCATTTGTCTCAAAATATACAATATTTCACTGTAATAGTAAACAGAAATATGACAGAATGATACTTTTTATGCAGCTTAATAACAAGTGTTTAATCTTCTTTATAGAAAAAAATGGGTTATTAGTATCTTAAATACTTTGACAGAATTTGGAGTTTCAGAACAGAGTTCTTTTCCCATATTATTCCTAATAATAAAAATTCTAAGAAATGGAATTCTTTCTTAACGAACATTGGCTTTTTTGCCGTCAGAGGAGGGCTGTGTCATACTAACTGTCAGAGAGCAGCAATGACTGACTGCTCTTTCGAGCACTGGGAGTGAAGAGGGAAAAGCCAAATGGCAGGGAAGGGACATTGCTGATGCCCATCCTGATGCCTCCAAGGGAGGCAAGTGGGGCAGGCACCAGAGTGGTAGCCTAGTTCTGCTTAGAGTCCAGGTCATCAGACTGTTAAACTCTATTAGCGTACAGAAGGCCCTGACACTGGTTCCTCTAAGTAACAGCAAAATTTCTGATCAATTGTGCTAATTTTTATCTTGATGTTCTTTTTTTCTTCTGAAACATTTTTATATTTTACTTCTTCCTATGATTAGAGAAAGTCTTGTATTAGATAAATTCTTAGATTTCTTAAGAAGAAATTAATATTAACCATCTAAAACAGTATTTAAAGATTGAATAATCAAATGTTGCTTTTTTTCCATAAACCAAGACTGAAAGAAATAATTGCTCTATTTTGACAAGTGAACCAAAGAAGTATGACATAGAAGTCTTGCAGGAATGCATGCATGAAAACAAGGCTGTCATGTTTACAAAATGATTTTTTTCGTATGGTGAATTTTTCAGACAATAAACTATACTGATATTTTTCTGAGGAACACAAACTTCTTTTGGCTATCCTTTAAGGAGAAGAGCTAGGAATAAATATAAATACACAATTTTGATTGTGCAGCTATTTTATGAAAACTCTAAATTTTTCCAATCTGTTACTATTTTTGCATTAACATATATCTGTTATACAGTTCCTTTTACACCAGTCATATTGTTCTGCAAGAATAGTCAAATAAAGGACGGATTTGAGCTATAGGTATTGAATGGAGTTAGCATCACATTCTGTAGAAACTCTTCGAGATCCTTCTGAAGAGAAGAGGGATGTGTTACCATGTCTATAATAAGTAGTATCATACATAAAGAAAGAGATTTATTTTCAGTATTCCTTTTATCTCAGTTCTGTAAAGCACTGTTTAATGTTTTCCATTTAACTTCTACTTTTAATTATGATGTCTTTTATTGCACTAACATCTGTTAAGTCTTATATTCAAAGGTTGATCTTTCCTTGATATTTTATAAGATCTATTTGGTTTACATCCAAGCATTTTTCACCAGCAAGATGACTGAGCTTCAGCTACGTCCCAAAATGTCAAAAGTCTTTGAATTGTTATTTGCAAAGGGGTATTCTGTAGCTTTTAAGAATTTAAGAAAACAGTATTTCCATGAAATATTTCATAGTGTTGTGCTGTTAATTGAGAAGTGCGAGATATTAGACTTTAAAGGACCTTCATGTTTGTTTTGTAAGAGCAAAGTCAGAAATGTGCAGTTCTGCTGCTTGTAGGTCTACACTCCTATATGACCAAAAACTATCAAAAAACTTCAGTCTGTTTTTCTAGTAGTGCCTCTTGATAAATTACCAATGAACACTGTTGTTGCTTTACAGAAAAATATTGCTTGCAAGAAAAATAATGGATTTACTAATTTATTTTGTTGCCCAAACATTGTGTGCATCTGAATATTAGGTTTGTTCCACATGTAGTTGCTGCAGTATGGATAGTATTATTAAATAATAAATAGTAGACATTAGATATACTGACTAATAAGTTTCCACTTTTTATGCAATTTTTTTCTTTAGTTTTGGTAATAAGTCATCACTGGTTGTAAGAACGACCTAAAACAGGTAAATATAACTCCACTAATGCTTTGCTTTGCTATAAAGACTCATGGGATTTAGTGTATTAGTTTGAATAGGCCAGTGGATTTAACCTGTGTTTTAGCGACACAGTTGTTGAGTAAAATGAGTACAAAGCAAGATGACACTGGGTTTATGATACATTATAGTGTTTTACTCTGGATTTTTATGTTTTAAATATTTGCGATGATGTGCGGAACTTCCAGAAAGTAGTTATGGACGGAAATTATAAGTACACAGAAAGTAATTTTACCCTCTAATGTATGTATTTTTAGTTTCCATTTATAATAGTGAGAATTACTTGTCTAAATCAAAAAAAATTAAGAAAGCTACTACTGTGATTAAGGTAAAAGAACTGATTTCTTTAAACTGAAGAAATGCAAGATACTATGAAATTTATCTCAGCATTTATTTTACTGGTTTCCCTCTGTAGCACTCTACTCAGAAGCATGTATAAGGTGTACTATTCAACACTAATTTTATAATTCCATACATAAATGATTCCCTTCTTAATCTAATACTTCCAGGGAACAAAATGTTGTACATTTTGGTACTTCTAGTCTGCCTTTTTTCATTATTTAACCATTTTGCTGTATGTGTTTTACAGATTCTAAAAATGGAATGGGGAGGAGAGTATTCACTTGATTCTTCCAATTTAGACTGTTTGTTAAATGTCCTTCCTGGAGAATTGGAATTTCAACAAATCCTGAGTGATGTTGATGAGAAAATAAAGAACAACTCTTCCAGGTAAAGAGTATTTTATTTGTATCCAAAATATTAATGAAAGTCATTACAAAGAAATGTGGCTTACCTTTTCTAGTTGTAGATTAAAATTCTGATAAATATTTCAACTGTAATTTTATCTAAACCACCTGAGCATTTAACAGATTTTTAATGCCATATAATTATTGTGCTATAGTCTTTCTCTTTATGGTACTTTTAACAGCTGAATCATCTTAATCTTAGGTTTTATTGCAGTAGGTGTGATAGTGAAGGAAGAAAATGTGAATTCACATGACAGTTGTGTTTCCTACAACTATTAGATGGAATTTGTATTCTATAAAAGAGCTACAGAATTTGACAAAAAGCAACATTTGAACTCGGTATGTTCTTTAAGCATTTGTAATGGAAGTAGAACAAGGAAGTTAAGTTAATATATGTAGAATTTCTTATGTAATCTGTTGTATTACCTATTTCAGTTAAAATTCTTGTGCTGCAATAGAAAGTTTTCTAAGTAGAATTTGAAATATATTTCTTTGCCCACTTCTTTGTAACATACTGATTTCCAATAATCAATGTTATAGAAACAGTGGACTTCTGAAAGAATTCATTGTTGATGCAGATTTTTTGCATGACTACAAAACAATTAGCTCAAGGTTCTGTGCCTTATTTGTGGCTCAATTCTTTAGTACCTTTTTAATACTTTGATTGTGAAAGATGCTCTTAAGTAAATAGACTTATTGTCCATTAAAAGAAATAAGTGTACATTCAGAGATAAAACATATGACATAATTTAATACTGAATTTTGAAAATCCTTGCCCTTGGATAACAGTGCATCTTACATAGTTTTATGATTTCAAAGAACTCCCTTCATGACATCTATTTTAAGATTGTATAATTTTAATATCACTCACATTTGAGAGAGGAGGTCTTTGCTGTTCCCAGGCAGCTTTCTGAAGAATGGAAGTAAACCATTGCCTTATCTTGCTGAAAACTGACTTAGATCATCTCTGAGTTATTGTTATATTGGTTATGCCAGGGTGAGAGATTTTCCGGGAGGAGGGGGTTATTTATATCACTCTCATCTCATATTTTCATTTAAAAACTTAGTGTTTACTAAAGTATTTACAATATTAATAATCCCAGGGTAATAATGATATTGAAGATCTGGGAAGTATGCTGTTGAGGACCACTGCATAGTACAATTTCATGTTACAGTTTTTCAGCAGTTGACCTGAGTGAAACGTAGATACTTACAGAGAGTTTAGTTGATGTCATAACGCAGTTAATTACACAGGTAATTAAGTTTTGAGTGTCTATGGTCTTATGTATCTGGAAAAAACAGAAACAGCATTTTTTGCAGAACCGTTGTCACCTCTTCAACTACCAAATAAAAGTGATTTTGTTGTCATTATGCAGAGACAGCCTTAGAGTTAGGAAGATTATTATCAAGATGAACGTTTTGAATTAATGCTTTACTACTGTTTTTGGTTTCAGTGTGTGTAAAATGTATGCTGCTTGTGGAGAAAGCTTTTAGCTGTGGGAAAGCAAGCCAGCTGTCCATTCCTTTTAGTGGTACTTTATGTCACCGTTTTGTGTTACATTTTACATTAACGTCATCACAGTGGAACTGTTCTGAAGAAGGCTGATTGTGACTTGTACCTAGTCCTACAAATTAGAAGGACCTTTCATTGTAAGTTTTGTAAGATCCTAAAGATATTTTATCAAAGGAGAGCATGAAACTAATTGCCAGGAAAAGTTTTGTATTTTTGCTGAATTGACACCTAAACTAGTTTTTAATCTAATTTTCACGAGGAAAACCAAAAAGTAGCTCTGTAGTTACCAGCTGATATTTTACTTCTCTAATATGTCAGTTTCAGAAATGGAGAAGAGTTTAAAAGGAGATGGTGACAGCAGCTGATGTGACTTTTACATTAAAAAGAGTCCTTTTATTGCAAATATCTTAAAGGTATAATGGAATTAAATAATTTTCAAGTTATCATTGATCTTTGTGAGTGGTATGATAAGAGCAGATCTTTGTACTATGGTGATATAGTTGAAATACAATCCATTTTTCATCAGATAGATTTATGCTTTTATTAGACCACCAAGAATGAACACAATTGTATATAGCATATATATGTATTTAAAAATGAAACATTGTGTAAAAGATTGTGAGGCAAAAGTTTGTAAATCACTTGAATGGTCATTTATTGCCTTCCTACTGAATAGATTTTATTAAATTGTGTGACATGGCAAATCAGATATGCTTTTCAGCAGTTGAATTTCCTTCCATGTTTTTTTATTATACCAATTCTATTTGGTGCTGTAACAAAACAAAGGCTGTCTGTATGACATTGTTTTATTTGTAAATTTGAAGGTAGTAAGTGGTTCATTCATTCACTATTATATAACAGTTTTCTCCCTGGCCGGCCCTGGCCACACTGAGGGGCTTTCTCCCCAGCTGGCCCCACCATGCCGAGGGGGCTTCTCCTGGCGGCCATGGGGGCTGCAACCCCGGAGGACAGGAGAGGAGGAACTTCAGAGTGCACAGAGGTTTACCAGTCCAATTTGCAGGAGGGGGAGGGGGTCCAACGGGCCATGGGGTCCCCAGACAGGCAGGAGGGTGGACAGAGCAGTCCTGCTTGGAGGGTTGTAAGTGGGCAGTGCGAGAGAGACCTGTAGTAAAATATGTCCATGGGCAGGATGGGCTCACTAGACTTCTGGCAGTCATCCTAGGAGAAGGACAACTCTAATTCCAAACCTGGGCAGACAGAGCTCGCTTGGCCCTGTAAGGCCATCCATCCAAGAGAAGGATACTCTAATTAAACCTACGTCCTGAGGACCTTGCTGTCACCATCCAAGCTCACTAGGCCCTGGCAGATGAACCTTAGGAGTAAAGGGTGGGTCCAGTTCTGCTCATGCTGTGTCTCACCTAAAAAATCCATTGCGCAGGCTCGAAGGATATGTCCACATTTGTAAAGCCCTGTAGCGACGGGCGAGGGACGAAACGGCAGGTGAAAGGTGCACTGGAAGCTGCAGACCCAACCCTGCATGCAGGAGGTTCGGGACATTGGTCGCCTGAGACTGCCCCCGGAGATGACAGTCGCATTTGGCAGCATCCTGAATGTCCAAGCAGCCTTTTTCAAGGAGAGCGCTGCTTGCTCCACTCGGAGAGGGGCCTAGAAAAGATGACCTAACCAAAGCTTATCTCCACCCTTCACCCGGTTGGTTAACCGCAGACCAACGGGCATCTTCTGATGCGGTCAAACTAAGTCTAAGAAACAAAGGCATACACCTGCCTCCAACGGTGTACCCAAACTGACACTCACATGCTGGAACATCAGAACTATGCTTGATACTGTGGATAGTGGTCGTCCTGAGCATCGTTCTGCCCTAATTGCCCACAAACTGTCACGTCTCAATATCGGCATTGCTGCTCTCAGTGAAGTTTGTCTCCATGAGGAAGGCAGCCTTAGAGAACATGGTGCTGGTTACACACTCTATTATTGGTCAGGTAAACTCAGAACCGAAAGGCATCTCTCAGGAGTTGGCTTCATGATTAAAAACTCTGTTGTCCGTAAACTTGAAATTCTGCCGATAGGTCATTCTGACCGCATTATCTCCCTACGCCTTCCACTACACAACAAACAACATGTGTCATCTTTAGTATATATGCCCCAACTCTCCAAGCTGACCCTGCCAAAAAAGATAAATTTTACACCGTCCTGCGCCGCCTTACCCAAAAGGTTCCTGCAGATGATAAGATCATTATCCTTGGTGATTTCAATGCCAGAGTAGGAAATAAATTTGAAGCCTGGAAAGGAGTATTAGGCAAGCATGGTGTTGGAAACTGCAACGATAATGGTCGACTTCTGCTAGAGTTTTGTGTGGAGCAGCAGCTCACCATCACCAATGCTATCTTTCAGCAGAAAAATAGTCTGAAGACAACCTGGATGCATCCTCGATCTAAGCATTGGTGCCTCATTGATTATGTCTTGGTGTGACAGAGAGATGTTCGTGCTGTAAACTTAACTTCCACCTTAAGTTCAAACCTAAAAGGGGTGGTATTCCAAGGAGGAGACTCCAAGTTAATGGTCTTCAAACAGCTACAGTGAGAGACAGATTAGAGGCAAACCTTCAAATTAGGCTTGAAGATCATTCCATAGATCCGTCTCCTGAAACACTTTGGCAACATATTAAAAATAGCATCCTGCAGTCCTCTGAAGAATCGTTAGGGTTCTCCTTCAAGAAGAACAAGGACTGGTTTGATGAAAACAATCAAGAGATCCAGGAATTGTTGTAAAGAAGAGAACTGCTCACCAAGCACACCTTGCTCAGCCATCTTGTCATGTAAGAAAAGTAGCCTTTCATCTTGCATGCAGCAAGCTGCAACAGAAACTTCGTGACATACAGAACAAGTGGTGGATCAATCTAGCAGAAAAGATTCAATTATGTGCAGATACGGGTGATTACAGAGGATTCTATGAGGCCTTGAAAACAGCATACAGGCCTACATACCAGGTCCAGAGCCCTCTACGCAGTGCAGATAGTAAAATGCTTCTGACAGATAAAATCTCCATTCTGAATTGATGGTCTGAACACTTTCAGACTCTTTTCAGTACTAGCCGTGTAGTTCAAGGCTCAGCAATTCAGTCCATCACACAACAACTGCTGAAGAATGAATTGGATATTGCCTCTACTGTGGGAGAAACTCTTAAGGCCATACAGCAGGTGAAAACTGGCAAGGCAGCTGGGGTTGATGGAATTCCACCTGAAGTCTGGAAACATGGGGGCCAAGCACTCCATGCTAAATTTCATGAGTTTGTGGTGCGCTGTTGGGAACTAGGCAAACTACCATCAGACCTTCATGATGCATTCATCATCACTTTGTCTAAGAAGAAAGGAGATAAATCAGACTGTTCAAATCATTGAGGTATTACTCTGCTCTCCATTGCTGGCAAAATCCTGGCAAGAATACTTTTGAACAGACTAATACCTTCTATAGCAGAAGGACTTCTACCTG